TTCAAAACCCTGGTGGTCATCTAAATACTAATACCAAACTATAGGGACAGGGAGAGATGAGTTCCTGAGGGAAGATGAAAACCCATCTAATTTTGTCATTAATCTATTTAAAGTTAATCATCATGAAATGTTCGTAATTAGAAACAGCCATGAGTGCTGGCATTTTTAATTGTATGTTGTAACTGTGACTGGGCAAGGTGACACGAAACAAAAAACAAGTTAAACAGCCTAGATTGATTGATTAAACCAGTAGTTCTCAACCTGTCGGTCCCCAGATGTTTTGGCCTTCAACTCCCCAAAATCCCACCAGCTGGGGTTTCTGGGAGTTGTAGGCCAAAACGTCTGGGGACCTACAGGTTGAGAACCACTGGATTAAATGCTTTGAAATGTTAAAATGAGGCACGCTAAATGTTTGACTCCTACAAGATCACAGTGTTTTCCACTGGAATTAAAACTCTAAACTATCTTTGCCAGAGAAAATGTGGCTTTTAAACCCTTGAAGTGACCAGGTGTTACATGATGGGAGGAGTTCACAAGGTATTGATGTACCCATGATTGAATTCGTTTATCCCCTAATAAATTCCTGTATGTCACATCACTGCTAGAAACACATGACATTTGTTGTCTTATAACAGCTCTACTCAGGCTGTTGTAGATAAGGATCAGCCCTATGGCAGACATACAACAAAAGGGACTGATCCACTATAATGAAGAGCAAGACAACCTTAAAGTGGCCTTGTTCTGTGTTACCTAAAGTTGGGAGAAAATCTTAATTCTGTAATAGAATTAGGACCTTCCCCCAAATTGAACAAGATGCAACTGACCCCACTGCCACCCAACAGTCCCCCTTTCCCCCTGACCCTGGTTTCCGGACACAACATGGGTTCTGTTTGTTGTCAGTTGCTTGTTGTGAGATTGACTGGGATAATGAGAAGAGGTGGGAAGGGAGGGGAGAGGAGGGGGTTCCCCCCCCCCCGCACCCTGTCACTATGGCTAATGACATGGCAAGTGCCAGACAACAGAGAGGATCTCTATCGCAGCCAAGATCATGGAGGGGGGACAGTTAGGATGGCTGCTGAGTGACACCTAACCTGATGGCTTCCTCCCACCTCTGCAGTGGCTGGGGAGTCCCTCTGTGGACACTTCCCGGCGCCGATATGGTGTCCAGCATACTGGATCAGCCCCGAAGTATATGTCAGTATACATCCTCCCTAAGCCTCAGGTCACTTAAAAGAAATCACATCAGAATACTTTCAAAAGAAAACAGTACTTCCAGTTTGAGCACCATCCACACACAAGAAGAATTAACTAGGCCATACTCAATATTCTACTGATATGACACATAACTCCAGAATATCACCTCTGATAGAGTTCAAACATTTGTGCTTTTTCTTCTAGCCTTACTAGGAAACAGGCAATAAATCCCATTCTTCTTTCCTTGAGAAAAGTCACCTTGTCTACTGGATAAATGGCAGAAACATCAATTGAATAAGAAATAGGAATCGTCTACAGTGACTCATATTCCTCACATTAATAATTTATAGCACTGTTAAGGTGCTACATACATTCACTTAAGATGAAAACATATGAAGCTGTTTTATATCAGATTAGGTCATTGGTGTATACACCAGTATTGTCAAACTGGATGGTAAAGCTTGAATAAAAAATGGAATGAGTTACCTAGAACAAGTTCACCATTTATTTTGGGATAATGAAAGGAGGGCAAGTTACATTTCAAAAATAATGTGATGGATAAGAATGTGATTTTTTAAAAATGCTGTAACAATTAACACTTTCTAGTTTAGCGTGTAAATATTAAGATGTGAAGCAGGCCCGTAGCCAGGATTTTGGGGGGTTTTTTTTGGGAGGGGGCTGAGTTTGGTTCAGGGGAGGGCTTAGTCTGAGTGAAAGACGGTCTACCCTAGCAAACCTTTTGTATCGTTACTCCAATACCCCCATGCATATGGGATATATTGAGCATGGTGATCAGATCATGATATGAATAAACGTAACAGTTTAAATAATGTACCAGTAAGGCCTTCTCGCGGACCACCATCAGAATTTCGGAGGGGGCTGAAGCCCCCCAAGCCCCTCCCCCCGGCTACATGCCTGATGTGAGGGATAAAGCTTTCCAGTTTGAATATTACTTTCAAATGGTGTTTTCTGTTGAATTTTCCAGGTTTTACATCATTCTCTTATTAATCCAAATGTTAGGTAAAGGTAAAGATTTCCCCTGACATTAAATCTAGTCATGTCCAACTCTGGGAGGTGGTGCTCATCTCCATTTCTAAGACGAGGAGCCAGCATTATTCGTAGATACCTCCGAGGTCATGTGGCCGGCATAACTGCATGGAGCACCATTACCTTCTTGCCGGAGCGGTATCTATTCACATTTGCATGTTTTCAAATTACTAGGTTGGCAGAAGCTGGGGCTAACAGCAGGAGCTCACCCAACTCCCCAGATTTTGGTCAGCAAGGCCAGTAGCTCAGCGATTTAATCCACTGCACCACTGGGGGTTCCAAATATTACTTTTCGTAAGAATTGAAAATTTCAAAAAAATGAAGTGGCTAATTACAATTAACTTTGAGGCAGGTTGTAATGCACTAATGCATTTAAAAAAAACAGCATTTCAATCAAGAGTTCACTAGGATTTAAGGGGCGAATCATTTCCATCTCTAGCACATGAAATGATTTTAAAATGCAGGTAGCAAGGGCTGAACCTGGCACTTATTGCTGGGAAAACCTGAGTCCACCATCTTTCTATGGCTAGACTAAAAAAAAGGAAAATGTATTTTTTTCAAACTGCTCAAAATTGGCCACGATTCCGCATTGGAGGATACATGGGTATCAGGTACCTAATTTTCCATAGTGATGTCTCTGGATGCCAGCCCTCCTTCCCGCCCCAACCTAAATCCACTTTGTAAAAAGTGTAGTTTCCCCTACAGAGCCACTTGTCAGAGAAGTAAACTATTTTCCTGTAGCTATTTCCCTTAGCTAGACATACTACAACACACAACTGCAGAAACCCCTGAAGCTCTTTGTTAAGTTTCTGGCCAACAATGCTTTTGCAGTATAGCTACTGGAAAATAACAAGCTGTGTCCCCTGTTCATTCTGCTACTCTCTGATACATCAAATGGTCTAATGAAGGGTGGGTTTTTGGGTGGGGGCGGGGGTGCCTTTCTGTAGTTGGGGCAGAATGTTGGCTCTTGCAATAACAAAAAATTGATCTGCAATGGCTTAAGTCTAACACTGGAATTCATCAATAGGAAGCCAACCATAGTTTTAGCATTTGATGATGAAATTGATGACTCATGAGGTAAGTAATTGCACTAAATCCAGTAAGGATTATTTCCAAGTACACATGTAAAAGAATAGGTCTGTTTCCACAGGCATATTCCCCATTGCACCCAATGGATCTTAATTGTGATAAAAATGCATAGGATTGCACTGAGAAGTCTTTTGTTTTAGATGTCACGGAAGTCCCCAGGACGTTTCTCTGATTCTAAGGTGTGATAATAAAGAGAAGACTATCAAGGAACAGTTTCCTCCTCCCACATTATGACTAGAGGAAGAATAAATATATACAGAATTTGTATTGTCGAAGGCTTTCATGGCTGGAATCACTGGGTTGTTGTAGGTTTTTTCGGGCTATATGGCCATGTTCTAGAGGCATTCTCTCCTGACATTTTGCCTGCATCTATGGCTAAGACCTCACGACCTCTTGAGGATGCTTGCCATAGATGCAGGCAAAACGTCAGGAGAGAATGCCTCTAGAACATGGCCATATTGCCCGAAAAAACCTACAACAACCCACTATATACAGAATTGCTAAAATCACATAGCTTATATGACTCACAGAATTTAGTTTTTGTTGAATCAAAACATGGTCTAGTGTGGCAAAGACATTTTATTTATTTACCTATCTGGATTAACATAACAATTGCCCCAATACTGGGTTGTTGTAGGTTTTTCAGGCTGTATGGCCATGTTCTAAAAAGCATTCTCTCCTGACGTTTCACCTGCATCTATGGCAGGCATCCTCAGAGGTTGTGAGGTCCCATAGATGCAGGTGAAACATCAGGAGAGAATGCTTCGAGAACATGGCCATACAGCCCGAAAAACCTACAACAACCCAGTGTTTCAACAATACATTGCCCCAATACTATTTGAGAAGAATATTCTAGAACAGTATTCTGAAATGACAGGAATTCAACCTCTTTGCAACTTTAAAGAAAGACCCACTCAATAGAGATACCCACTTTTTATGTTTCCAAGTCATTTCCCACACATGGCAGCCCTAAAGTGAACCTAATCTAACAAGACCTATTCAGAGGGGGACTGCCATTGCCTTGCGTTGAGTCTGAGAGACTATGACTTGCCCAAGGTTGCCCAGTGAGTTTCCAAGGCTAAGTGGAAATTCAAATCCTAGTTTCAACACCCAAACCACTACCCCATGCTGGCTCTGCGTGTCTAATCTACAAAATGAATCAAAATTTATATTAAGAGCATGCCTATGGACATGCCACCTGTTCTGAGTTGAAGATTTTTTAAAAAGGAAACGAACATAGTCAGGACTCTGTTATCACTCTGATTCTAAGAAGTATGGCAGACTGCTGCTCTTCCTATGGATTTTCTAGAGAAATCCCACAGCCCTTCCTCTTCATAACATGACAGCTAACAAGGAAACTTGCTAGGATCTATATTTCTTCCAGACTATTGGAAAAGAAATAAGTCAGGCTATACGAATAGCTTATTAACAAACAATCCCAAAGACACAGATGATGGCAGATACTTATGTTATCAATCTAGCATTTGTGGCACCAGAGCCGTCCCTTCCTTGAAGCAGTATTTGGTACTGTAGACAAAGCTCATAGCCGAGAGCCAATTCTTGGAAGCAGAATGTGTGCAACTGCTCTGGACATCCAAGACTGATTGATCAACAGCAGATTACTATACTTTGAACTTTCAAAAAGAAACAAAAGTAGAAAGAACCAGTAAGACATGATGGACCATGCTTTATCAGATCCAAGTCCTGACTGAATGCGGACAAACCAAACTAGGCAAAACAATCTGAACCAACATCATACAGACTAGGTTAAGCAGTGACCATCTAATAATCATAACATTACTTGTATATAACTTGAAAAAGGAGTGAAATGTTGTAAGAAATGTGAATCTGTCACCAAAACCAGTCTTTATCTAGCCTTTCCATCATCCAGATCTCTTTTAACTTCATACCCGATTATGATTACAGTGGTTTCCTCACCTCAGCCCCTATCATTGACAGAATTTGGCAATGACACAGGAGGTTTTAAGGGTTTTTGTTTAAGGATTTAATTGTGTGCTAAGATATTGCCCTAAATCTTACTTGTTAGTCCCAAATGGAGTTCGGTCATTGGGTAAACTGTTGGGTGGGGAAACAACATAAAGTATATGTCACTGATTGAATTGATCTAACTAAAAGATATAACTAAAAGAATTAAAACCACTGTGAAGATGTGTGTCATGTTCTTTAGTGCTCCCCCTTTCCTGCTAACAAATGTTGTTGCCTAAATAAACTCAACTGAGTCCTCTCCCTGCGCTATGTTGAATAGTAAGGCAGATCGTCATTTTTGGAATGGCTGTGCACTGAAAAAAAGTTAAAGCAATTATAAATAACAGGGAACTCATTTTGCTCATTTTGAGCAATACTGGGAAAGAAAGAATGTAAGGTAGCATTAAGCACAATGCATCTATTAATCTAATACGCTTCTGATACATATTGTGCAACTGCTTTTTTGCTGTTATCATAGCTACAAAAGTGTATTTGTTTGTTTTTGTATATCAAATACTAGAGTTGTGAAACCTGTAAACGATACTACAAATATCATGGTCATCAGAGCAATACATTTTTAAAATCTTTGAAATAAATCACAAAATGTTGTATTTGTGTTATGTATATATGTATGTATATTGGCTTGTAATTTCAATGTCAATACTAGTATTGAATTTTCTCTTCTAAATACAGACTGATACACTTTCTATTCCAACACATGCACCTACAAACATATGGTCATGCATACAGCATTTCTATGTGCTGTTTGAGAGAAAATTCAGAATATGCAGAACTATACCATACAAAATTAGTTAGTAAACATGAAGATAGGCATATGTCATTCAAAAGAAAAGTAACAGTGAGTTATAAAAGGATATATACAGATGCAGGGAATATCTTTATCCAGTCGATAAAAACACTGAAGACTAAGGATGTTCTGAGAATCAAAACTCTTTCTCCAGCAAAAGATAAGGTTTCTATAGACCATCATGCAACTGCACAGAATTGGTTGTGGTCATGGAGCTGAGAGTCCTTACGATGCATGGAGCTTTCACAACTGCATTGAGTCTATTCTTGAGTTTGGAAAAATTGTCCTTTTCATGGCAAGCGGTGATAGAGGCCCATTTGAAAATTGTTTGTTCACTGGCTCAGTTGGCCAAGAGAAGGCTTTCCCATTTGAATGTTGAGCTGGCACAGACACCTTAAATATAAATATAAGCCACTTGAGTTAAGAAGTCAGAACGAAATACCAGAAAAAAAGCATTCTTGGAATATTTAGAGAATATTGGGGGTATGTTGATCACATATGGGCAGCTTCATGCTACCAGAAAGCCCAGAAAATGTATTAGCAATGGCAAAAGAACTCTCACACATGTCCAAGGAATATGTAGCATTTTAAGCAAGTGCAAAATGCCTGGCGGAACTTGAAAGTTGTAAATAAGACAGATGACCTTCTTTCTGCACAACATGGGGTGGAATCAATACTTCTTCAAGGAGAGCACAGAGTATAATGGCTGTCTGATGGCACTATTACTCACATAGCTTGCCTATCAGTCAATTGCCAGGCTTCAACATTTGTAAACACACCTTATTGCTTACTAATGAAAAACTGAAGCAATGATAAATTGACCAAATGTGATGGAAATGCCCCTTTACCCTCTAGAAGTGAGCAAAAAGATTTTTTTTAAAAAATCTTGGAAAATTCTTGTTTTGATCCTTGGGAAGCACAGGAGGTTTCCAAACATGTTGGAAATGGAGCCATATGCTTTTATATTTATATTATGCCACTATCTCCCAGAAGTGATTCAGGGCGGCTTACAAGGCACTCCAAGGTGCAGCATATAACATTAATGGTACATGAGTAAAATTATAAAATTATAAAACAATTACTATCAAGACACATAAATATAAGATAACACAATTTTAAAAATGCAGACCACCTGTAGTTAAAATTAGCTGCCATCAATTCACAACTAAAGAGCCTAAAATGCCAGAGTGTCAACCCTGAGGCCAAAGGCTTGCTTAAAAATCCACGTTTTTAGTTTGGGTTGAAAGGATTCAAGGGTGGGTGTTAACCTAATCTCTTTTGGGAAGGTATTCCAGAGCCAGGGAGCCACCACAGAGAAGGCCCTCTCTCTCGTCCCCACCAATCGCACTTGAGACAGTGGTGTGACCAAGAGAAGGGCCTCCCCTGCTGATCTCAAAGCCTAAACCAGTTCATAGAAAGAGATGCAGTCTCAAAGATAGTTTACTCACTATGTTAAAATTCTAAACATAATTGATTTTTTTTTTCAATCTTAGATACCTGGAAACACTCAGAGTCTAGATTAACCTCAACAAAAACACAATAGCTTCTCATTTCTTACATTCTTGCTTTCTTCTTCTGCCTTGTGAGCAGTTGCTCTTTGTCTAGCGACAGTCTGTTCCGAAGTACAGGAATACACAAAACTATGTTCTTCAAGGGATTAACGTTCCTCTCTTGCATTCATTTTTGCCTGGCAAAGCTAGAAAGGAAGCAAACAAACAGAAGTGTATTAGACTACGGTAACCTTACAAGCTTGAAGATCAAAACGATTGCTTTTAACTTTGTGATAGTGTTATCAGAGCCTAGAAAGTTTGGTAGGCTGAATAATTTGAAATTTATTTTTACAAATGCTGGCAAGTCAGTTGCTTTGGCATTGTTTCGTTTCCTAGCATATAAAAAAATCACAGTTTTAATAGCTATTTCACATTAGCAGTGGTTTGCTAATACTGCACCACACTAATTTTCAATCAATGCTTTCCTCAAGTTGAGTAATATTTTGGACAGTTACAGTGAGTCCACTGTATATCATAGTGGAAGAAGATCACTGGTAGTATGGTGTGGTAAGTTGAGTAGGGTGGACTAGGATTCCATGAGATCAGAGTTGGAATACCTGCTTAGACCACAGAAATCCACTTAATAAGTCTTGGGCAACTCACATTAATTCAGTCTCATAGGAATTTCAGTGGCAAGCAGTATCTGAACAAATCTTGTCAAGAAAAAACAAATGATGAGGTTGTTTTAAGTTTACACCAGCCTGAAAGCACATAATAATACAACAGAAAGTATTATCATGTCCAGGGTAAAATATACACTTTATTTATATCCTTCCAAAAGAGACTCAAGGCAACTTACAAGGTACTTCAAGGTACAGCATAGCATAAATGGTACATGAGTATAAAACAATATCACATAAAAATTATAAAAAAACAGCCACTATCAACATCTATAAAAAAAAGATAACACAATTTTAAAAACGCAGACTATTGGTAGTTAAATCTAGCTGCCATCAATTCACAACTAAAGGGCCAGAGTGTCAACCTCACGTGGGCCTGTTTCAGCCTCCTCCTAAGGGCCACATTTTTAGGTTGGCTTGAAAGGATTCAAGGGTGGGGGCTAACCTAATCTCTTTTGGGAGGGTATTCCAGAGCCAGGACCACCACCACAGAGGAGGCCCTCTTTCTCGTCCCCACCAACCACAATTGAGACGGTGGTGGGACCGAAAGAAGGGCCTCCCCTGCCAATCTCAAAGCCCATGCTGGTTCATAGAAAGAGATGCGGTCTAGAAGATAGGTTGGACCCGAAGCATATAGGGCTTTGTAGGTAATAACCTGCACCTTGAATTGAAAAATATGTTTATTATCTTAGCAACGTGCATCTGTTTGTTTGCAATGCATTTCAGGCAGAGCAAGACTGCAAACTGTTAGTTATAGAAGTGACCCAGAGTACATCCAGACTGTGGAATTAATGCAGTTTTGCACCACTTTAACTGCCATGGCTCAATACTATGGATTCCTGGGAGTTGCAGTTTGGTGAGGCATCTGAACTCTTTGGCAGGAAGGCTAAGGGCTTGGCAGCTAAAATGGTATCAAACTGGATGAATTCTACAGTGTAGATGCACACTCAGATCCAGAAAACATAGATCCTAGTTCCTCTTTTACAGTATTTTGGATTTGCTTTATTACTCTGGCTTGTGTGTATGTATTGTGAATGCACATACTTGGGAAAGAAAGTAAAGAGAGTGAAAAAAATGAGAAAGAAACATTTTCCTTTTATAAGAAAATAGCTATAATTCATACTGAAACTTGTTTTTTATTTCCCGGAGGGAATAGCAGCTAGCTTGTCCTGCTGACACTTTCTGACAAGTTCTAGACAAGGTCAGAGGCTCAATATAGCAGTAAACTTTACGTGAACGATCAATGCCGTCTGCATCAGTTGAACTGCCCTCTCCCTCCTTTTGCTAAAACAACTCTTGTTTGCCCTCAAAAATACAGCATTTCTTTGGCCCACTTTCCCTTTGGATACATGGCTTTCCAAAAAGTTTGAAATAAATACTGTTCTGAGAAAGAAAAGCAGGTACTATACTTAAGAGACAATAACATGAGTTAAGGTATTATGTTTTTAATTGAACAAAAACATATATCTCAGAGTTTTCTTCTGAATTACATTGAGCTGTGCCAGATTTTAAGTAGTACATAGAATAAAGTCTCAGTTATAACAGCAGCATTCTTTCATGCTGAGAAAATTCAAAATAAAAATTAAAATGTATTAAAAGTACATACTAGCATCACACAGACACTGTTTATGGAAAGTGCAATCTGCCTGTCCTTACATAATACATTTCGTGCTAAGATGATTACTGGCTTACATTCAAATCATGAGAAAAACTAGACAGATGTCTAAGTTACCTCCTTAATGGAACATTTCAGCCCATCTCATGTTGAAAATATTCTCACTGTCTTCAAAAGAGGATAAGGTAACAATGAGGTTTAGAAGGAATTTTTTTAAAACCTCACCTTTTGCATGGAAAGAATCCCTTCAGAAAGATGTCAGGCTAAATGTAAAGTGGTGGTGAAAGCAGGAGGCAGAGAAAAGCTTTCAAGTTCTTAAAATATTGATCCTTTGAGGAAAAGAAAAATAATATGAGCTTCTCAAGTCTTGGGACCTTATCAGATCACCGCATCTTTTTGCAAACTGAAAGCAGATTCATTTTAGAATCGGCAACTGCGGAGACCCCAGTGGTGCAATGGGTTAAACCCTTGTGTCGCCAGGACTGCTGACCGAAAGGCCGGCGGTTTGAATCCAGGGAGTGGGATGAGCTCCCATCTGTCAGCTTCAGCTTCTCATGACGGGACATGAAAGAAGCCTCCCACAGGATGGTAAAACATCCAGGTGTCCCCTGGGCTACAATCTTGCAGACAGCCAATTCTCTCAAACCAAAAGCAACTTGGAGTTTCTCAAGTTGGTCCTGACACACACACACACACATATGGGGCACACAGATATTTTAAAAAAATCTTCTAATAACCATCCTTGCAACTGTTTATTTTTTCATATTCTATGAGTATCAAGTTCATTACATTTTAAATGTTACAGTGAAATTGTACAGACCAAGTGCAAGAGGGATGGATGATATCCTTGAAGTGACTGACTTGACTTTGAAGGAGCTGTGGGTGGCCACAGCCGACAGGGAGCTCTGGCGTGGGCTGTCCATGAGGTTACAAAGAGTCAGAAGTGACTGAACAAATAAAAAAACCAACAACAACACAGTTAAACCTTGCCGAAGTAGCTTGCCTAGATTACTAGAGTTGATCTATGGTCAACTTCTACTGGAAATTGTATTGGATGATACATGACATTCATAAAAAGAATCTTTAGCTCCTCCTGCACAACTTCATTGTCAACCTCTGAATCACTCTGGATGACTTAGGGCACATTTACACTGACAACTTAAGGAAGTTTCAAACTGATATTTAAGAAAGTGGTTTTGCTGTGCAGTGCAGATGATTATACAGGAAATCCTGGAACCTGTTTGAGACTCAGACAGTGATTACACAAACCCCAGAGCACTGGCGCGCATTAAAGGTTTTCTTTTGTGTACTTTTGTGGTAGTTTGAGTTTGTTGTCTAGCCACAACCTTTTGAAGCTAGCTTCATACTGCAGTGGTCAGTGTAGACGGTGATACCTTAGAAATTCCTAAAATAGCACTCTTTCAGGAAAAATTCCCCTTCGGGGTGAGAAGGATGGAATATAAATATTTTAAATAAATAAATAAAAAAGCCAAATGTTTTATTCAGTTTTCCCACTTGTGGAGAGGTCCTGTAACCCTGACCCCAGTGAATGTTGGGCAGTTTAGTTCACACAGAAGACCACTACTGACAAGTTCCAGTGATTTCTAATGTTGTCCAGACATTAAACTCCTATTGCAGATTATGGTTTGAAACTGAGAGCACAGTTTACAATAATCCTAGAGTGCTAACCACTGGCTGAGATCCAATACTATATGGGCTTAGCAAAATATCCACCCAGCATGATTATATGGAATCTTGTAATGAGCTTGGGAGGGGAATAGAAGCATGCAGCTGAGACAAGAATGAAGCTCCAGATGGGCACCACAGCAGCTTCTCCGGGCAGCAGGCCTCTCTGCAGAAGGGGTTGCCCTCTGGCCACTACTTTTAGGGTAACCTCCCAACAGGTTGAAAGAGGAAAGGGTTGCATCATCCTCTGCAATGTAGTACTGAGATGCCCACAAAAAAGAAGAGAGTAATGGAGAACAGTAGAGTCTCACTTATTCAACATAAACGGGCCAGCAGAACACTGGATAAACTAAAAATAGAAGGAATGATAAGGGACTGGGTTGTTGTAGGTTTTTCCGGGCTATATGGCCATGTTCTGGAGGCAATTTTTCTCCTGACGTTTCGCCTGCATCTATGGCAAGCATCCTCAGAGGTAATGAGGTTTAGCTTAATGCAGGAACTGGCACTGGCCAAGGGCCAAGCCAGGGGGAGGAAAGAAGGCCCACGTTGAGGAAAGGCCCGCTTCCCCTTTAAACATACAATTGTAATGCCAGTTCCTGCATTAAGCTAAACCTCACTCTTGAGGATGCTTGCCATAGATGCAGGCGAAACGTCAGGAGAAAAATTGCCTCCAGAACATGGCCATATAGCCCGGAAAAACCTACAACAACCCAGTGATTCCGGCCATGAAAGCCTTCGACAATACATTGATAAGGGACTGTTTCCCTGACTAAAACATCTCCACAGGTAGCCATCTAACCTCTGTTTCAAAGATGATAGAAAGTCCCTTCCAAGGTTGTCTGATTCCAATATCAAGTAGCTCCTTTAATTATAATTTTTCTTGTAATTTCAATCCATTGATTCAAGTCCTGTACTATGGAACAGCAGAAATCAAGTTCATTCCATGTTTTACATTATAGGTGTTTGGATATTCTGATATGGTTATGGTATTTCATTTTTGTCTTCTCCACACGAAGCATGCACAACTGCCAAATGCCTTCTCCATAGGGTTTACTTCCCAGGGTTTACCCACCTCTTGCTGATGTGAAATGAATATTTTCAAAATCATACACTCTGAAAACAAGGTTTTTTTCCCTCAGGATATTCCAAGTATTCTTATCTCAGAAGTTTTGAAACTTTTCTAATTTTTCATTACTTCTCCGGATAATATATTGTATCCAGCTTGAAGACCATTCCAAAATATAGAGCTTTCTTAGCATTCTAGATGACTTACTCATGGTTTAGAGTCTAGACTGAATATCAGAATGTTTTTCCGTCATTCTAAAATGCACTCTCCGTCTTATCCTCACCCTCCATCTTACCTGCATCCTCTATCTCTCTTTGTGCTACAGCTGCCTTACTCCACCTTCTTTCCTTCTACCTCTTCCTCAGAAGGCTAAGGAAAGGAGAGGAGGGGGGAAAACCCTTTTTTGCAACAACCAGAGATGACAAAGTCACCTGCTTCCTGCTTGTAACTGAGAATGGGCAAGACTGACTTGGGAATTTTCCTGTGATGCTGAATCCACAGGTGGATTTAAGACAGAGGTTCAAAAATTCCATGAACTGATAAATCTTACGGTTAAACAAATCAAACTGCTTGAATCTGATCAATCCCCTAACATCCTGGTCCGAAGAGAAATCTGTCATCGTTTTGAGAGGCTGCTTTCCACAAGACCTGCATTTTGTTTTTCGTGCCAGCAGTGAATCCTGTCTCTGCCATGTGAGTCAGAATAGTGTCAAATTCTGGGCAGTCTCGGCCAACCAAAAAAATGGAGTGTGATGTCCTTACGGCTCTGCACATATTGTAAACAACTCCTGGAGTTCATCTCCAGTTCATCTAGAGTTCATCTTTCTATTCTTTAGTATGATGCATTCAGGCATTGTTTCTGGCTAAATGTCTGCTCTCTTCTGGCTGCGCATAATTCTCCTTTGCGATGGCACCTGCCTCTTTCCGCTCTGATTCCCAAGTGTTGGCAACACATGTCATCAGACTTTTGTCAGATGAAATCTTTATAATAGGAGCTCCAGTCAGAAACATTTTCAGGGAAAGAAATCTCTCTGCCTTGGAGAAGAAGAAATCTCTCAGAACCTCCAAATCCCACCATCATTTATTTGCAGCAGCAGCAGCATATAATCAAGAAGCACAACATTTATCTTAAACTAAGCATATGTAGCTCAGTTTGAGGAGGAATAAGCCCTGATTTGCAGGATTCACACCATGATAGAGCAGGAGTGGCTGAACTGTGGTCCTCTAGATCAGTGGTCCTCAACCTGTGGGTCCCCAGATGTTTTGGCCTTCAACTCCCAGAAATCCTAACAGCTGGTAAACTGGCTGGGATTTCTGGGAATTGTAGGCCAAAACACCTGGGAATCCACAGGCTGAGAACCTCTGCTCTAGATGTTGTTGAACTCTCCTCAGCCCTAGCTTGCAGAGCACAAACCATTCTCTCCTGCTATGCAGCACTGTCCGAAGCCATTACAGAGTTTGTATTATAGATGTACTAATGCCTTTACATTTTGACTGGGGAGAAATCTCCTCGTCCTCCTCCTCCTTCTTCTTCTTCTTCGATCCCTCGTAGCTCAAGGATTGTCTTAGCTCAAGGATGATTGCCTTCCAGATGTGGTGTCTTGGCGGTGGGTCCATAGGTGGCTGTGGAGCCCTATTCTTGATCCACATGTTCGCCTGCAGTGAGGCCATCAGTTTCCAGCTGGAAGGCAAACCCAGTCAGGAAACTGCATAGTGCAGTGGCATATCTCTGACCTTGTCCCCCTTACTTCAGATGCTGTTTTTTCCTCACAATTGATTAACTGCTTGATGCTGTGTAAAGGATCAATGTAGAGTGCCCTTTAAAGGGTCACAAATGAAAACCAGGAAATGTATAGCCAAGCAACATCAGAGCAAGATGGCCAAAGGTGTTGTTGAGAAAGAACACACAAAGCAGAAAAGGCTGTGATAGTTTGCCTTTGCCGAAGATTTTTGAGAAGAGTAAAATTCTTCCCCCTCCTCTCCTCCCCACAATCCTGAGTTAATTAAGCACAAACAATTGTTGTAGTATGATTTCAGTTTGCAACAACTGAAGTATGCTGAGGATTCAGGGGGAAACTGGGAATAAAAGAGAGAAGCTAGTACATTTTATAATCATTTTTAAAAAGTGGGATCGCTGGTTCATTGGGACTGTCCCTGACAAATAGGGGCAGTTAGGATGTGTGATGTATGGCTACAGGTTTGTTCAAATGTCATTTATTAGTTATCTTATGCAAATACTATAAGCATCACAAGACAATACAACCAATACAAACTCAAAAACTCATTAAAACCTCTGTCTCACAGGGGGAGCAATATTTATTCCATTCCTCTGAGGCTGAGAGCATGACTTGCCAAAGCTCACCAAGTTGGTTTTCACTGTCAACCTTTCTTCTCCCTAATTTCTTCAGGAACCATACCTCAACCAATAATTAAACTTCTAAACCTCGTTGGGGCTCAAAAATTAAGAGAAGGCCAGCAAAGATCAGGATGGGAAGATAAAGATAGTTTCTGCTAAGTAGCAGAAGCAGGAAGAAACCATGTTACTGAATTGTGAAGATACATATTGAGACACCAGCGAAAATGGCTGATACACAGCAGATAGCAATGTACATTGGCACTTTGCCCATGCTGCTATGTAGTAATGCAACAACTGTTATAATTCCCACACTCTGAAATCCACTTATGAAGACATAACTCCCACACAGGATTCTGGCCATCACTTCCATTCATTTCAACAAACCCCAGGTGGTCTCCCATCCACAGATCAACCAAGCCCAGGTCTACTAGGAGCTAAACAAAGAGTTGGAAGTGACTGAATGAATAAAAAACAAAAATACAATGCTTAACTGACATTGGTCCAGGATAAGAAAGTGCTCCACTGGAACCCTGTTGACTTTCATTCTCTAACCTCCCATTATCTAAAGTTCTCTAATATGCGATGACGTATGATCCTCAGACTACTAAAAATATTTTGTTTTTGTTTTTGCATTCAGTCGCTTCCTACTCTTCGTGACCTCATGGACTAGCCCACGCCAGAGCTCCTTGTTGGCTGCGGCCACCCCCAGCTCCTTCAAGGTCAAGCCAGTCACAAGGATAACATCAATCCACCTTGCTCTTGGTTGGAGCCTCTTCCTTTTTCCTTCCATTTTCCCCAGCATCATTATCTTTTCCAAGTTTTCCTGTCTTCTCATTATGTTGCCAAAGCACTTCATCTTTGCCTCTAATATCCTTCCTTCCAGTGAGCAGTTGGGCATTATTTCCTGAAGTATGGACTGGTTTGATCTTCTTGCAGTCCAAGGCTCTCTCAGAATTTTCCTCTAATAACTAAAAGTATAGATCTTATAAACTAACATTTTATAGGGAATGGGTGTAGAATTTACTCTTCTAGACTTAATCACATATTTATTACAGGGGTTGCAGCAATACATAGGATTACCATTTTATTGCCAGCACAGTTCCATCAATAACTTAGAATTTTACAAGTTTGAGTCAGCAACTCTTAAATTGACTTTTTCCTCAGAGGAATGATGGAAAAAAACAGGAAAGCAAAAATCAATCTAGTGTTCAGAATTGATATGACAAGTTCTAGCTGGAAGGGATTCATTTTTTTTAACTGCCATATTGCAAATCCCTAAAACCACGGCTGGGGAAAGGGTGGGGAGAGTTTTGCTGCTGATTGAAGAAAAAAAGAGAAAAAGATTAATGCCTCTAGTTCTCACTGACATGATTTCAAAGCAACCAGTCACATGCTAAATGGATACAGCAATTGACTATGCTGCACAACAGAATACACCACTTGACCAGGAAACAGAGCTTAGAAAAATTACTTTGGTGTATTCTGCAAGTTGTAGTCTGAAAAGGAACTTTTTCTATCTCTTTCCAACAGCCTTCAGTCTAGCTCAGCAGCATTGGGTAGGCTGTCAAGTACCCAGCAAGTGACAACAAATGTTTGGTAGGCTGTTTTCTGGTTCTTGAATCACAAATTGTGTAGGCTTTTTGTACAGAATTGCAAAATTTAAAAACCACTGTCCACATTTGCTACGGAACACACCACAATCTTTAGGAGTACTCCCAGATAAAGTTTTTAGCAACATCAATCAAAAGACATTGTGCTGCTATTCATTCTTTCCATACTTAATGGTAAGCAGTGGAAGTACACGGGAGGTTTGAAGCTGAAAGCATTATGTAGACCCCCTATAAAGTCCTTTGAATATGGTAGAATGGTTGCATAATAAATGCCTATTCAGAAAGTACCCTCAATGCTGCTTGCTGAGTTTTGTTGTTCTCTTATTCAAACACAATAAATTACAGCTGCAGCAAAATTTGGGAGCAGAATTAAGTATGCCTTTAGGTAAAGGTGGGATATAGTCAAGGACATTAAGGCATACAAAAGAGTATATGATAAATGAAAGCCTGATACAGAAGGTGAAACCATACATGATTTAATCTCATCATAGCTTTGGTCAGGAAGACAGAACTATATCGTATTCATGCCAGTCTGACATTAGCCCCCAACATTTTATCCAACATTTCTGACATTTCATATTCTGATATTGTCAAGCTCTAAACTAAATCTTCATTCCCTTCAAAAATCTTAAGCCATTCAACTGGATTCAGAAAATATATATTCAACTCTGCAAACGGTATCAAGTATGGATCTGTGCCTTTTATCAATGGTTAGGTGCAAAAGTCAACCCCTCACCAAAATCTTCACTTTGTGGTGGTGAGTAGGCTTAAGCGTTACAGTGAACCTATAAGCAAAGCCATTGGGGGTCATGTGTTCTCAGCAGGGTCACCCGTGGCAGCAAGGTCATATGGGAGGAACCAAATGAAAAATGATCTAAAAACCTTAACAGCAAAGAAGATGGGGGATAACATGGTACATGTTACAATGGCTGAGAAGGCAGACAAAGGCTGCAACGAATAAGAGGCCACTAATCATTAGGGTAACCATGTCATTTGGATCAGAACCTCTTTCTGTGTAGGCTGTGTGTTTGTCGTTGTGCACCAATCTTCATACATAAAATAAATTCTTGCACAGACATCTTCTAACCAAACAAAAATCAACAAACATCCCACAGCAATTGGCAATTGGTGAATGATGACAGGGGCAGGACTGTGAAATCTGGAAGCCCTTGGCTACGCACCGGCACATAGGCATTTGAGCAGTTCAGTAGCTGTATCCACACTGAACAGCTCTATTTAGGAGGCACTCTGCTCACCCCATATGGGGAGGAGGCTTAAAAGGGTACCCTAAACATAGTCTGCCTCTTTTATTTATCCCTGACTGGACTACTGCATCCACCTTGCGGTCAAAAATGACACATGAACTTTGGAATATGAAACATGCAGACACTATTGGATAGCACAGACCATGAACACCCTGAATGTATGATTGCTATTATTACAAGGGAGCTGAGGCGTTTTAACATTGATATAGCAGCACTCCAAGAGACCTGAAGAGCAGGAGGAGAACAGCTGAAGGAAGAAAAGGAAGGCTACATATTGTCTTGGAAGAAACTGCCTGAACAAGAACAACTAATATACTAAGTCGGCTTTGCTATCAAAAATGACCTGTCTGAAGCACCCATTGCATAAAGAAATGGCTCTCATCCCTCCTAATTAATCTTGCCAAAACCAGACAGGCAACTATTAAAAGTGCCTGTGCACCAACACAAGATGTTGATGAAGACATCAAGGAACAATGTTACTGTCAGCTGGATACCATCAAACCTAAGGAGGACAAAATTATCCTCCTGGGCAATTTTAATGCAAGAGATGGGCAAGATTTCAACTTGTAGCCAGGGACTATAGGGAAAGACAGGTGGGAAACAGCAACTCGAATGGCATTCTACTTCTCACAAAGTGTGCAGAACACAATCTTTTCATCACTAACGCATTCTTCTGCCAGAAAAATAAGTTTAAGACATAATGGATGTATCCCTGCTCAGAGCACAGGCACCTCTTAGAGAATGTAATTACACCAGAGATCACCGTGATATACTTCTCACAAGAGCCATGACAATCTCTCCCAAATATAGAATCCAAAAAAAGAAAGAAAATGCATAAAATCAACACCCAAGCCCATCAAGAGTCCTTCTCCAAACAATACCTAAGGATGGGTTGTTGTAAGTTTTTTGGGCTGTATGACCATGTTCTAAAAACATTCCAGAACATGGCCATACAGCCCGAAGAACCTACAACAGCCCAGTGATTCCGGCCATGGAAGCTTTCAACAATACAATACTTAAGGATCATCTACCCACAGAATACCCTGAAAATGTTGAGGTACATTGGAAAAAACTAAAAAAAAACTAAACTGTGAACAAACCATTTGGTACCAAACTAAGAAAAATCAAGATTGCTTTGATGAGAATGATAACCGATGAGAAAAGAAAAGCCTTCCAAATATGGCAAAGATTGTGCTGCTAAGAAAAATATCTATGCTATTACAAAAGCTGAAGTCCAAAAATGAACCAGAGAACTTAAGACTATATGGTGGGTGAAAAAGCTCAAGAAATCCAACACTGAAAAACTTAGCCAACCTCTTACCCCATCTACACTGCTATAACTGCATTAAACTGTGTTATATGGGTCTAATGGACCACATACTGCAGATTCAAACTGCATTATATGGCATTGTAGAGCCAGTCCTTGATAAATGTATGAATAGCAATAGATGGATACATATAGGCAGACAGATAGAATATACAGATATCATGGAGGTACATTACAATCCTCTTATCCATGGATGTAATAGTCATGGTTTCAGTTATCCATGTTCCAAAAAAACATTTCCCCTCAGAAGTGTTTCTGGCCCTCTTGAGACCCTGCAATGCTATTCTATGCAAATATAGTCAAAATATAGGGTTATTACTAACCATGGTTTCAGGTATCCACGGGGATTTTTGGAACACATTCCCTATGGATATGGAGCATATTAAATATTTGTACCACACAAACCTATTTAGTTATCACTTTTATAACTCTGATATAAACAAAATGCAGTTCTAACACATATTCAAATTCATATTATCTCAAAGTTACTCAAAAAGAAATCAATATAAAAATAAATATATGCTTCTTACCTGCTTACACACAATTTCTGCAATTCTGATTCAGTTGTGAAAATTTCCAGCTTTTACTTCTATTATGTTTTGGCATCTCAAGGACTGATTCCCTTTATTTCAAACAAGTAGTCTTCAGTGTTTTTACAGCAGTGACTTTTTACAGAAACTATAGCTCTTGGATTTCCTATCTTGGGAGGATGGACAAAATAAGGCAAACTGAAAATAATACTACAATGAATGGTAAAACTATGAAAAACATCTACAGCACAAAGAACAATGTGAAAAGGAAGACAAGTTTAAATATTGTAGTGTACGAAAGGGATGAAAATAATACAAGGATGAGAATAAGTAAAATGATAGGTTGGAACATCTGGGAAAGTAAATACAAAGACAAGATAACATTGTATTAATAAAATAGCAAGTACAGCATTTCGGGAGAAAGGAATACAGGTTCCTCTAAAATCTGGCCATCTTAAACAGATCAAACACTCTCTTTCAAGTTTATTTCCTTCAGTCTAAAACAACCAAAACATTTCAAGACATTCATGCTTTAAGGGCAATGCAGCCAGCTAATGGAATTTAATTTTTTTCAATCCATTAACTTAATTTACAATTGCTAACAGAATTATATTTCAATATTTATTATTCTACTTACATATTCTTGACTTAATTGGTAAGAGTAATTCAGAACACCACCAGATGAAAACCTGTTGATTTGGTCGTCCATTAGGTCTGAATATGCAATATTCAACTGTGATGTATATGAGGCAACCAGTGACCCGAAGTATCTATGCATAAATCTATGGCTCTCTGCATACAATACCCTCGATTTTTCCCCACCATTTTTGAAGAGACATTTTTATCTTAAATTACTATGCAAATATACTTTAGCTTATTGTCTTCCTATACATAAGGGCCTAAATCCAATTTCTAGTTCCAATTACCAGTAAATCAATGCGATTTATATGAGAATTGACTTACTATTTAGGAATTGATTCCGTTGGTTTACTCTAGCTGGGATTAACAATGAGGTTTAGGTGAAGGGCTTGGCAATACTGTTATGTGAACCAGCCCAAATTTTAAAACATAAATACATGTCATTTCAGCATACCCAAAGTTAAAAGTTTGCGCAGGATACAATGATTTATCTCCACATCCTAAGAAAAACTCTCTAAGCATCACAGAATAATACAGAGCTCAATTTTGACAGATATTACAAACAACTGAAAAGACTTAGCACATATTTCCTTGGTTTGGGATGTTTTGGATGCCCAACTATCGCCACCAATGAAATACTAACCAAGCCCTATAATCTACAACAGAAAATCCTATCAAACAAGGCTTAATAATGAAAAATAATTCAGTTCTCAAATCAGCAAGCTCTATTTTGGAAGGGTGTCCATCATAACGTTGGACATTAGGACTTTGTTCTCATACTGCAGTTGCATGACTTTGCCACTGAGTTCATTGATCTTATTTAGAACTACTCTAAAAAGTTAACAACAACAACAACAACAACAACAATGCATATATTACCTGCCTCTCTTTGCCAATTAACCATTCCGTTTGTATCCAATTGTAATGCGACCAATTCATTTTAGTGAAAGCTGTAAATATCCAAACATTTTGGGGCATCTATACCCTTATGTATGTTTTGTTTATGAATCATGTCCTACTATCATGTTTTCTGGCATTCTCAAGTATGAGAGTAGAGGTCCATATCGCCTCCCACAAAATACTATTTTTGCTTGTCCTCATCACTACTACTTCTTTGCTGAGGTGAGAGACAGCAAGCAAAGAATTAAGCAGGCATCTGTCTTTGCTTTTTGTGGTCAGAAAGAAAGGGAAAGCAGACTTTGATAACAATTAAAGAAGGGTTTAGCAAGGGCCAGCGGGCTATTAGTCATGGCCCCACAATAGAGTTGCAGCCCCAGGCAGGTGCTAAACCATGCTGACCCCCTTGACCTAAGAAGCTAATGTTAGGATTAACAATTTGGATAATGCTTCATTGAACCAGAAAATTTGAATGATTTGCCCTTCATATTGTGCAAGAACTGTAAGGAATATAGATCAACTATTCATGGCACATCACAAGCTGAAATATTTTACCTAGATTGCATAAAAAATCTACCTGACTCAGTGATGATGGTTCATCAGTACTTCGCTCATCCGAGGATTTTGGAACTTCTAATCTGTCAATGAAGGCCTGGAGCTCTTTCCTAAATGCCTTCATCTGGGCATTTATCCGATAAAGGAGTTCGTGTTCCCGTATCCTACTGCCATCGTCTTCGTCATCCATAACTCCAAACATGTCCCCATTTGCCACATAAATTCTTGCCTCTGTGATTATAGTGCTTGTGTCTGAAATCAGACGGTCTATTGTTTTGCCCAATCGTTCTGCTTCACACCGGATGTCCTTCATTTGTTGCCTGTCTGTGGGGCCTTTCTGCCACCCCACTGGTGATGGATACAAGGATCTTGTGGGAGTCAAGCAACGAATATTGCGGACCTCTTCAGAGTCACTTTCCCCACCAACAGGCCCTTCTCTTTTACGATGTGGAGGGCGAGAATCATCATCACTTTCTTTTTTCCCAGCATCACTCTCAGCATCACTGTCTCTGGGACTGCCCCGGATTCCCAGATGGGAAGCCAAATCATAACGTTGCATGTTGGACATCAGGACTTTATTCTCATACTGCAGTTGCATGACTTTGCCACTGAGTTCATTGATCTGCATGCGGGCAGCTTTGAGTTCTTCTTGAAGAGCTTCAGTCTTTGCATTGTCATGGTGTCTTGAATTATCATGAGCCCCAGACTTATATTTGTATTTGTTCAGCTCTGTAGTGATGCGCTTGTTTTGTTCCTCTACATCTGCCAGGTTTCTCCTCAACAGTTCAGTTTCATCCTCAACGAGCTGCAGATGTTGTCGTAATTCTGAGAGTGACTCATTCTGCTCCCCCAAAAGGGGATTAGCAGCCCCTGAGAAATCATCTCCTCTCAAGTCATCAAGTTCTGCTTTTAGCCCTCTGTTTTCTACTTCCAGTTCCACGATTTTCCTTCCCAGAATATTGGCTTCTTCCTCTACTAACCTCAGACGAAGCTTAAGCTCTGATTCTCTTGTGGTAGGTGGACCTCCAGCTTCCCCTTTTGGTAAAGGACTATCTAGATCACCATAAAGTGACCTATATTTTTGCAGGTCATGCTCAAATTTATCCTTTTCCTTGTCGATTTTGGCCAATTTTTTCCTCATCAGCACAGCTTCCTCTTTGACAAACTGCAACTGGCATTTCAAATCTTCACTATCCTCCTTATAAACAGGAAAGAACATTGAACAATTATTTTGCATGTTAGGACATGCACTTGGCAGTTCAACAAAATAAATGACAAAGTATAACATAATAGGATTCTTTCCATTAGTTTTACTGGAGGCAAGATCCCATTTAATCCATCTATACTGCGCTGTTAAAATGAAATCAGCCACTAATTATGCTGGAAATTCAGAATTGAATTGACTATAAATATTGTATTGTGTCTTGAGTCATAATACCCCAAAGCCTATTCAAGAGCATTTAATCATCTTCAGAAAAGTTAAAATGCACAGACACATGCACAGAATTCTTCACTTGATGGCCATTTCTCACACACTGTAGGAAAACAGCCTGAATTCAATCCCAACTTTACAGTCAGGAGAAATGTATAACCTATCATTCATTTGTATAATGCATTTACTTGCTTTGTTGCATTCATATAGTGTAATTTAAATAGAGGTGGTCACCCTGACAAGTATTAAGGGAATATTAAGAATATTCACAATTCAGGTTTTTGAAACAGAGTTCAGTAAACAAAGTCAAAGTTTTTTCATTGTTGACTAAGGAAAGGCTTCCTCCTCTGATCTTTCTTTCACTCCCTAAGCAAGAATGGCTGCTGTAAACACATAAAGGAGTCCAGTAGCGTCTTTGAGTTTATTTGGGAAGAAGAAATCTAGGACATAAGCTTTCATGGCATTTAATACTTTTATTTATTGTACTGTACCATGGGAAGTATTTCAGCTCACCTCAGTGGGTGTCTGCTGTGCCTTTTTTTCAGATTTTGGCAAGTCTTTGCTTCCTCTTCTTTTCATGGACTGCTGTAAAGAAAAGATCAAATGTGGTGGATATTTTTGCCAAGTGTATAGGACTATGCAAATCCATGAACCCACAAATCCAAAGCAAATGAATATTTCCCAGCTGTATTTACACAATATTTAATGCTATGTAATACTTGGAATACTACCACAAAGTCATACAATATTATTGTTGTTTGTACATTGTATTTAGCAGCCCCGAGTCCTACTGGGGAGATGGGGCAGGGTATAAATAAAGATGATGATGATGATGATGATGATTATTATTATTATTATTATTATTATTATTTTCAGGAATACTTGGCATATTAAAAAAAAACATTTCACAAACAGACAAAAATCCTGACAAAGACCTGGAATCTAATCATGTATTCAGAGTAACTACATTTGGTACTTTATATGTAAAGCCTGCACGAAAATGATTCAAGATTAAATCTTCCAAAATGCCAGTGTCAGTTAAAGAATCTACTGTACACTCCAAATGGACTGGATAAATACAATGATTATAGTCACAAATGTCTCAAGCATTCAGATAGAAAGCAGGACTATAAAGTGTATTACATGAACAAAAAACAAAATCTTTGATCTCGTAGGGGCTAAATGTTATTTACTAATCATAATTATTTATGATTTACTATCATAAATCAGTCTTCAGCAAATATTTTCAAAAATGTTTATAACAATCATGTAATAATTACATTCATTAAAATAATCACAAAAATCTAAAAACAATATAGAACAGAACAGACAATAAAGTATCAGCATAAAATCACTGCATAAATTCAAAGACATTTAAAAAACTGGGTAAATAAAAATATTTTCCAGTTATTTTTTTTAATAAAATAAAAATAAATACAGTTCCAGACAAATTTCTAATGAGGGTACTTCAATGATGCAGTGCCAGGAAAGAAAAGTCATCCCTCTCAGAGGGTGGAAAAGAGTAGATACAGCATATCAGATAAAAACAAGTGGTCTTACAAGAAGGTATTTATTTATAGGACAAAGCTAAGACACTGAATTGTGTCTTGAAATGGATAAGCATGCAACATAACTAAGAACACATGAGATGTATCCCATATAAGTTCTCCCTGGTGGTAGAGAGCCACTCTGGTGTACTGTACTGAGTGTCAATTGTGGAAATTAGGATTTAAATCCCAGCTCAAGCATGGAAATCTGACAGGTGAACTTGGGCAAGTTTCACTCTCTTAGGCCCCTACTACACAGCTGTATAAAATCCAGGTTATCTGCTTTGAACTGGATTATATGGCAGTGTAGAAGGGCCCTTAGTCTGTGGGCCCATCTAGACACACCCTAAAATGCTCACCCTCTTGCATATTTACCTGGGGCGTCCAGACGATACCTCAGGTAAATGCAATTGCATTTGGTACAAAGCTGGAAAGCCCTGCTTTGTGCCGAGATAATTTGATAGTAGTTTTGATCTGCACCTTCTTGAAAGGTATGGGTCAAACCCACTATGGCCGCTGTCTGAACGGCCCCCTCAGAAGTTCTCTCACATTTTCCAGGCTGAATCAGCATGGAAAACTCAGAGGGCTCCCCCCTCCCCAAAAAAACCCCTTAAAGCTGGGAGAGGGAGTAAAATAACTTACCCAGCCACCATGAAACTCCTGCCAGAGCTCTACTGTTGCATACGAGTGACACGCCGGGAGAAGGGAGGAGGGCAGGAGCAATTTTCCTCCTGTCCCCCCTTCTCCTGGTGCATCATTCGTACGCGACAGGAGTGCTCCAGCAGCAGTTTCATGGTGGTTGGGTAAATTATTTTACTTTTTCCTAGTTTTTAAGGGGTTTTGTGGAGGGGATGAGGGTTATCTCCCTGTCTTCCCGGAAGGTTCCAGGAGGGAATCTAGACACCCACACCAGAAAGCATGCACTTTCTGGGACATATGTAGACTTCAACCTAGGTGCAATCGTGTTTTTAATACGTGATTGCTCCTGGGTTAAAGTGCTGTCTGGATCTGCTCTCCGAGGAAGCCAAAGGCAAGTCTGTTCTCAACGAATTCTGCCAAGAAAACCCATGATAGGTTTGGTTTAGGGCCACCATAAGTCAATAATGACTTGTAGGCACACAACAAATGTTTTGTTGTAATGATGGCCAAAATTAAATTGCGAACTTCACATAGAACAAGCACACTAAATCAATGGAACTTACATATGGGATATGTTACCTTAATTATATCCCCACTATCTCAGTATATCTACTCTAGACTAAGAATTAGATTTACATATTCTGAACTGACTATAATTTCTAAACAAATTGAAAAAGAATCCTTGCGTACAGTGTAGTGCCATAACCTAAACAAGATGTTGCAAGTGCATGGTTAACTTTGACCAAATACAAAACACAGACATAAAGCACTGCAGGTGAGAGGTAGACAGGATGACCTTTGAATTCTGCTATTTCTACAGTTCTACATCTCCAAGATGATGAATGCTGTGTTCCTGCTTGGCTATTATGCCTTAAAGCTTTTTCAGTGTCAAAAGCTGAAGCACAGTAAAGAACACTTCATGACAAATTAATCTCCACTCTTGCCTGTGTCATATGTTTCTCAATTTCAAAAACAAGTTAAAAGATAGTCATACTATTTTAACAGAAACAAATAGCACCATGTGGATTCATGGGCCTCCAAGGGCAGATCTTAATCAGCTCCCAACCACTGTAGAAGATGAGGGCCCTTCAACACAGTCATATAACCTAGAATATCAAGGTAGATAATCCACAATATCTGCTTTGAACTGGATTATCTGAGTCCTCACTGTTATATAATCTAGTTCAATGTAGATTTTATATAGCTGTGTGAAAGATGCCTGAGAGTTAAAATCTCATTAAGTAATGATCTGTCTGTAACACTGAAACTATGGAAAGTTCTTCTACATTCAGATCACCATCAATTCACCCATTCAGGAAGATAGGTGCCAAATGTGTCCCACATAACAGATATTATTTAGAACAGAACCATGGTCTTCATAACATCCTAAACTATTTCCAAAAGAGAGGTCTCAATACGGATATTGAAGTCCCATAACCCAATAGAAGGACTCCAAAACCACCACCAAGGCCAACTCCACCAGCTGAGGAAGGGAAAATAGATGACCAGCACAGCATCCACTACACCAAACAAAATCCCTATTGTGCTCCAACTATTCATCTTTAAATGGAGACTCAATCCCAACAGATTGTGGGACAGAACATCTGATGAAGGAAAGTGGGTCATGAAAAATCATTGCCCTGTCCATCCCACCCCACACACCTGCAGTTGTATGGAGAATGAAGCAGACAAATACATTAAACCACCAGACTCCTCCAGCTGGGTCTCAATACTGCCTTATCCATCATTAGATCCTGAATCATAGCTTCTTTTCCTTTTATTGATCAATCATTAAGCAGCAGTATTTTCAGTTCAGCTCACTGCCAAGTCTATTCAGACTATTTGATTCTCGGGGGACATGAGAGAAGCCTCCTCGCAGGATTGCAAGACATCCGGGCGTCCCCTGGGCAACGTCTTCGTAGACGGCAGATTCTCTCGCCACAGAAGCGACCAGCATGCAAGCAAGCAAGCAAAACAACCAACGGTCCTTTTCAGGACCAACCATGACAATAATCTCAATCAATATCGAAGGCATGTCAGCTGCCAAAGAGCAACTGCTCTATGAACTGTGCCGAGATAAGAAATGCGATGTGCTGTGTGTCCAAGAAACACACAGGGATGAACAACAGAAACGACCCAAAGTTCCAGGAATGGTCTTAGTAGCAGAAAGACCACATGCGCAGTATGGAAGCGCCGTCTTTGTCAAACCAGGCCTCCAAGTCAGCAGTGCCCACAACACTGAAGAAAACAATATCGAGGTTATAACAGTAGAGCTTAATAACATCACCATCACCTCTGTGTACAAGCCCCCAAATGAAGAGTTCTGCTTCTCCTCCCCCGAGAACTTTGACAGGCACCAAAGGGCGGTAGTAATTGGTGACTTCAACAGCCATAGCCATGTATGGGGCTATGCCCAAGAGGACAGAAATGGAGAGGCTGTCCTGTCCTGGTCTGAACTGCACAAACTATCACTCATCCATGATAGCAAGCTCCCACCATCCTACAACAGCGGGAGATGGCACCGAGGTTATAACCCAGACCTCTTATTTGTGAGCGACAGCATCGTACAGCAATGCACCAAATCAGTGGGACCACCAATCCCAAACACACAGCACCGACCAATAATATGCCAACTGTTCCCAACAATAAGGCCTCAGGAAGTTCGATTTAAACGAAGATACAACTTCAGAAAGGCAGATTGGACTAAATTCTCAGACATGTTAGACGACATGATCACATCGGTCGCGCCAATCCCTGAGGAATACGAACATTTTATTGAAATAGTGAAAACCTGCTCACGGGCCTCTATACCGAGAGGCTGCAGAACCCACTACCTCCAGGGCATTATTCCTGAAACAGCTGTCCTTGTTGGAAAACTATTACAGGCTCCACAACGAAGACCCATTTAGTGAGCAGACTCTTCAGGCAGCGCAGAGCATTGTGTCCTCCATCTCTGAAGCCAAGAAAGAACAGTGGATCAAGTTGATCACAGAGGTCGACATGGGCAGGAGCAGCCAGAAGGCGTGGAGGCTGCTGAGACGGCTGAGCAACGATCCCTCACAAACTAATACCCATGCCAACATAAAGGCAGATCAGATAGCACACCAACTCTTGAAGAATGGGAAACCCAACCTTGCCACCAAAGTAGGAAAGAAACCAATAGCCAGACAACCAGAGATTGAGAACAACAACCTCCATGAACCTTTTACATCTACTGAATTGGACATGGCTCTCAACAAATGTAAGAATGGCAAAGCAGCTGGCTTGGATGATCTACGGATGGAACAAATCAAGAACTTTGGTCCAAAAGCAAGGCGCTGGCTGCTGCAGCTGATGAACAACTGCACTGCATCCTGTCAGATCCCCAAAATCTGGAGGAAAGCAAGAGTCATCGCCATC